GGACCAGGAGGAACATTGATGCCAGCCAGCTGCTGGATGATGGCAATGCTGACAACTACATGGACTATGCTGATGGCATGGAGGAGATTTTTGGCTCCCTGAACTCCCTGAAACTGGAAATCGAGCAGATGAAGCATCCCTTGGGCACTCAGCACAACCCAGCACGCACCTGCAAGGACCTGCAGCTCTGCCACCCTGATTTCCCAGATGGTGTGTCCCAGGATAGAGGGGATGGAGGGAATTCTGTCTCCAGATGAATGCAGAAGTGAGGGTTGGAAGAGCAGGAATTTGGGGAGTCCATGGGGGATGTGGCTGGTGGAGAAGGAATATGTAGATCTGGATTGGATATCATTGGATAGCCCTTCCAGCTGAAATGTTCTGTTCTAAAAATGGGGATATGGGATGAAAAACCTTCTTCAGCTGGCACCAGAGCATGACCAGTTTCCAAAAGCTACATAAAAATAATAACCCATGAGAGGTGAAACATCCCAGGTGAGGAGGTTGCTGAAGTGACCTCTGAGCTGATCCTTTCTTCCCTTCTCTTCCCTCATCCAGGTGAATACTGGGTTGATCCCAACCAAGGGTGTTCCAGGGACTCTTTCAAAGTTTACTGTAATTTCACAGCTGGTGGAGAGACCTGCATCTTCCCTGATAAGAAATCTGAAGGAGTAAGTGCTCACCACCTTTGCTTTCCCCTCTGTCCTGGTGATAGATGGTTTCCTGATATCAATATTCACAGACAGCCAATTGCACAGCAGCAAGGAAGGATCAAAGATCCAGAATGTTCTTTTGTTACACAGCATTACCTTCTGAAATAATACGGAATGTGTTGACAAAGAGAAAATCAGATTTAAACTGTGATTTGGGACAAACCTCTGAAGGTTTCCCAGGCATAATAAATGCTAAAACCTTAATTTTTTGGACTTTGCTGTCCAAGGCAGGGCTGTGTGTTGGTGCAGGAAGTGGGAGCTCTGTTTAACTCATTCCCTCCCACAGCCCTGCTCCACTGCCTGCATGCCCAAGCACCACTGATTCCCATCTCCTCCCTGTGTCTCCAGGCAGGGCAGATAAATGTTTACCTCCTGTCATTTTTCCTGCTGTTCCCTGTGGGTAAATGATCCTAAATGATTGCAGGCAGGCTCAGAGCTCTCCCAGGCACCGCTGCACGAGGTTGATGCACTTATTTGTGTGATGATGCTCTTAGCTCAGCCCTGCCCATCATTTCTGTCCTCTATCCCTGCACTCTGTTTTCCAGAGCTGCCTGGGGACCAGCTGTGGCCCTGGCCAAGCAGAAACACAACAACTCAGCCTGGGGGAGCCGTGCCAGTGTCACAGTTGTGCTCCAGCTGTGACAAAGCCGAGCTGTTCTCCTGCTGCATTTCATCCACCAGAAATGTGTGTCAGCACAGCGCAAAGCACACGCCACATAAATCCTCCCTGAGTTTTTCCTGGGGCTGTTTAAAGAGGAGATGGATTTCCTCTTCCTTTGCATCAGTGAACTGTGTTTTTCCTCAAAATCTGACAGCTCAAAAAGCAGAGTCTGGCCATGATCATGCAGGGGCCTGAGCTCCTGCTGTGCTGGTTCACTGAGGGGATCTGTGGAGCTGCAGCACTCCTCAAATACAAATTTCATGCTGGGATCCATAAGAAAAAACTTCTCCCATCCAGAGGGATGCACCACCTCAGCCCTGGGTGGTGGCTCTTTGCATCCCTTTGAATGGAAGAAGTTTTTCCTTATGCATCCCAGTTTTTTTCTTATGGATCCTGCGTGGGTTTGTGGTGAGCCACAGCAGAGTTTCAGCCGTGGCTGCTCTCAGCTCATCCCTCCCCCAGCACAAGTGCTGGGATTTGCTCTGCAGGTGACATCCTGCAAGGGGAAGGACAGTCCCAGTCACCTGCAGCTGGGCTGCTGCTTTTGGAGAGGGTTCCAGCACAAATGAGGGCGTTGTGGGAGGCTGAGGGAGCTGCCACGCTCCTCCCTTGTGCTCTGACTCAGCTGCTGAGCTGGGGCTGCCTTGAGGATGCTCTGCTGGCTGATTCCTTGGTCAGGTCACCCCTGTTCAGGCCACTCTGGGTCCCTGGAGCTCCATGCTGTGTGTCCAGCACCTCAGGCAGGCAGAGGCTTTTCCTTAATCACATCCTTTGCCTTTCCCAGCCCTGCAGCACCTGGATTTGGCATTAGAGAGGCACCAGGCTTATCCAGCACCAGCACTGCCCTCCACACGAAGATCAATGCACCTTTTCCCATCCATGCTTCCTTTTTCCCTCTCTGTCTTTCTCTTTAATTTTCCTGCCACTGCTGGATTTGCATCCCAAGTTCCTAGGAGGCAGAGACAGCCCTTAGCAAAGGAGGCTGGTGCCAGAGCAGCACCACTCCATCTCCTCTGCTTCACAGCCACCTCCTGCTCTCATTACTGATGTATAAAGATTGAAAAAAAAGAAAAATTTAAAGCAAGTTGGACAGTTTCAATAAGACATGCAGACTCTGGAATGAAAGCAACCTTTTTAATTTTGATTTTTTTTTTTTTTTCTTTCTCTCTTCCCTCCTTGCTGTCCACAAACTAGGCTAGAATTACTTCCTGGCCCAAGGAAAACCCAGGCTCGTGGTTCAGTGAATTCAAGCGCGGTAAACTGGTAAGATGCATCCTGGTGCTCGCTGTTTCCTTTAACCCCCTGTCATATTTTACAGAGTAAAATGGCTCGTTGGCCCAAAGAACAGCCTTCCACATGGTATAGTCAATACAAGCGGGGGTCCTTGGTAAGTGGCTAACCCTGGCCCTCAATCAGAGCTTGTCACCTGCTTCGGTGTGGCCGCGCTGCCCTCTGCATGCCCGACTAACCCCCGCAGGCACCGGGAGTGTTTAAGGTGGAACGCTGAGAGAGACCCCAAACCCACCGGGGGGCTTGGGCCAGTCTGCCTGGCTGGGAACTGGGAATTGGGAATTGGGAACTGGGAACTGGGAACTGAGCTTTGGCACTCAGGGTGTGTCCTGGGGAGTCTGAGGCAGGTTTGTCTGCACGGAGCCCTGCAGGAGAGCTGCATCCCAAAGGGAATTCTCCATCCCAAAGGGAGAGCTGCATCCCACGGGGAAAGCTGCATCCCACAGGGAATGCTGCATCCCACAGGGAATTCTCCATCCCAAAGGGAGAGCTGCATCCCACAGGGAATTCTGCATCCCAAAGGAAATGCTGCATTCCACAGGGAGTGCTGCATCCCAAAGGGAATTCTGCATCCCACAGGGAGTGCTGCATCCCACGGGGAATGCTGCATCCCACGAGGAATGCTGCGTCCCAGAGGGAGATCTCAATCACAGAGGGAGTGCTCCATCCCGCGGGGAATTCTCCATCCCATGGGGAATTCTCCATCCCAAAGGGAGAGCTGCATCCCACAGGGAGATCTCCATCCCAGAGGGAGTGCTGCATCCCACGGGGAATTCTCCATCCCACGGGGAATTCTCCATCCCAAAGGGAGAGCTGCATCCCACGGGGAAAGCTGCATCCCACAGGGAGAGCTGCATCCCACAGAGAATTCTGCATCCCACAGAGAATTCTGCATCCCATGGGGAATTCTGCATCCCACAGGGAGAGCTCCATCCCACAGGGAGAGCTGTTGCTGTCTCCTCCTCAGCCCCCATTTTGGGTGTCCCCATTTTGGGTGTCCCCCAGCAGTGCAGCCTTACCCCAAGAGCTGAGAGGTCCCTAAATGCTGCTCCAGCCCCGAGCTGGCACCCAGAGCATGGAGCTGCTCACCTCTGGCCTCTCTGGGACAGGTTTGCCCCAGAGGGTGGATTTTGTTCCCCATGTGGAGATGAACCACTCTGGGAACTCCCCAGAGCTTGGGAGAACCAAAGTCATTTATTTAAAGGAAGATTTCCAGCCCAGCTTAGTGGAAAGGAATTTAACTGAGTCACAATTAAGGATTTTTTTCCATGGGGGAAGAGCTGTTTTAAGGTCAGACAAGGCGTGATGTCAGCAAGGCATAAACCAGGAAAAGCTCTGGTTTCTTACCTTGTCACAGGACATGCACATTTTGGGGAGGTCATTCCCACAGAGGCCCAGTGCTGGGCAGGGATGTCACATTTGTGTCTCAAGCCCCAGAACTGTCCCCCTGGCACATCAGTTCCTGTAGAATTAGCACGGAACAAGCTCAGTCAAACCAGGAGAATGTGGGAACAGGCAAATATTCCATGGATCCAACCAGCCTGCCCAGGGCCAGGAGATGCTGTGTCCCACTGAGTTGTCCCCTCCCCAGGGCAGGGGGTTCCTGCAGTGCCCCAACTTCCACCTTAAAGGGCAAACAACCCAAGCCCTGCGTTGTTTCCCGACGTTTGCCACATTCCATCGCCACTAAAACACATTTTGCTCTGATTCTGCCCTCGAGGAGGACACGGCTTCTGGGGCTTCTCTGCATCATCAAATCAGGCTGCAAAGCCCAGGCTTCAGCCTCCTGGCTCCTCGGAGGGCAGCACTCATAGCTTAATTACAGAGCACTTCATCAGTTCATGTTCCAAGTACCTCCACTTCTCCATCTCCCCTGCTTCTCTTTTTCCCAGCTCTGTTAGAGGCTCAGTTGCCAGCCTAGAGCATAGGGCTTATTCTTTTTTAGATAAAAACATTTCTGGTGCTACTTGGAGCTCTTTGTTCCATCTTTTTGTGTTGTCATTTTCCTGCCTATTTTTTTTTTTTTTTCACCTGTCCTGCTTTTTCTATTTGGAAAAATAAAAAAGCCACCAGTATGTGGAAGACCTATCTAAGCAAACCACAAAACAGTCCAACATCCAGGCCATCAAAGTTTTATTTTTTTTATTTATTTAAGATTAGCTCTAATTTTGCCTCGCTCAGTACTTGGAACCATGACATTGGCAAATTGAGGAGACATTTGTGGGTCCAAAATCAGCTGAAATTTGTGTGCAGATGGGCAGAATCAAAAAGGCGTTTGAGTTCCCCTCTGGGTGTAACCCTGCTCCTGTTACTCCATGGAAAAGGTCCTGGTGCCTTGGGGAGCCCCAAAGCTGAGGGAAGATTTCCAACGCTGCCAAGGGCTCCATATAAATCCTGGGACTGCACAGCTGGGCAGATGCTGCCTTTCTTCTGGAGACACCTGAAGTAAGAGGGATGCAGTAAATATGAAATACAACCAAACCAGCTGGGTTTGATGCTCCCACAGCATCATTAATCAACGCTGCAGAGCCCTCGGAGCCAATTCCTTACCTTTCCTCAGGATGCAGCCAAGCTGTGTTTAGAGGGATGAGAGGCTTGCAAATGTTTTCTCTGTGCGTCTTACACACAATTCCCAGCAGCTCTGGCAAGGCCTGCTTCCCATCCCATCCCATCCCATCCCATCCCAGCCACAGGACACCTGCCAGCACAGAGAAAAGAGGAAAGGATTGGATTTTCCCCAACTGAGCAAACATCGTGCACAAAAGCAGCTCCTGGTGGCTCCACTTGGAAATCTGGGACAGGGCTTCACAAAATCTGCACAGGCTGCACAACAAAAGACCCCTTAAAAGGCAATCAGGCTGTAAAACAAGGGTTGGTTTGAAATAAAACCAAATAAGATAAGGTCCTACAGCTCAGTAGTGCCACACTGGGTGTGTGACAAGCCCTTGGCATTTTTTGTCCCCTTCCTTCCACGTGCTGGTGGCTTTCTGGTGGCTCCTCCTGGCATGCGTGGCTCTCTCCTGGTCAGTCACATTTAACTCTCAGGAGGACAGCGCAGCAGCATCCTGACAACCGGTTGGTATCTTTGTTTATTTGGATTATCTCTTTTAATTCAGTGGTTTATTGTGGTTACCAATCTCTTCTACCGTTTGCAGCCTGCACCACAGCTCGAGGGTTCGTGGTACCTGGAGGAAATCCACGCTGGTTGGGTGCCTGTGTTTGGTTCCCAGTTGTTTCTAAAGAAACCCTCAGTCCATCCAGGGCAGTAGTTTGGAGATGTCACCTCAAGCACAGCCACTTCATACCTGCAAAATCTCATTTTGTGGGCCGTGAAAGTCCCACAAAATCCTGAATCCCCCAAGTGCTGAGATTGGGTTTCAATTTTTTTTTTTTTTTTTGTAGGAATACATTCTCCTGCATGGGAGAAAAAGGAGCCTGGAGGGCTGAATGGAGCAAATCCCAGTGTGCAAGACTGGGATTCACAATCTGTGTTCACAACAGGGCAGCAAATCCATTTTCCTTTTCCCTGAGCAGAGCTTTTCCAACCAGGGCAGTGCCCAGTCCTCAACAGCAGGGCCAGCATTGCTGCAGATGCAATGCAAAGATTGCTTCAAACCCGAAGAAAAGGAATGGGGAATAGCCCAGGGTGTGCAGAGCAAAACACCCCCAGCAGCCAGAAATTTGTGTCAGACAGGACAGGAAAATACAGCCCTGAACCCTCACAGAAATTCGCCTTCTCTTCAAGAGCTGGAGAAATAAGCTCAATATTGGCTTAACCTTGAGACAGATCCCCAAATTTCCACCCTCTTGCAACCAGGGCTGAAATCCCCTTGTCTTTGTTTCCCTCTGCCCTCTTCAGATTTAAATTTTTTGCTCACAACCTCACCCCATCCAGCAGGAGAACAAAAAGTTCCTGAGCGAGCAAAGCAGCATCTCTGGTGGCCCTGGTGTCCCTCAGAGCAGTGTCTGTGGTGGCCCTGGTGTCCCTCAGAGCAGTGTGGTGACACTGGTGTCCCTCAGAGCCCTCAGGTCAAGAGCAGTGTCTGTGGTGGCACTGGTGTCCCTCAGGAACAGTGTGTG